AAAATGAAAGGGGAAAACAACAGGTCTTGGATAAAAATCTACAAATGTTTACAGTAAAACGATTCTGTCAAGGTAATAGAAAACCAAAAAGGCAAAAACAGTTGCAATTAGTTTATTTTGGCCAAATTTGGACAAGGAGAATGGACAAAAATAAAAGTTTTAATGTATTATTCTGAGCTAGAAGTCAGGGTACTGATATAGTCAAAGGGTGCCCATCGTTTGGACACTTGGATTCAATGGAGTCAATGGACAGATAAGGAATCTTAGAGTGGGTGCTCAGTGCGTAATTACGCTACAACCGCCTGTGTAAACACACGCACTAACCTGGACATGTTCTCTCTCTGGGGCCGGTGCGCTTTCTCCAATCCCAGTTTCGTGAAAATCCCAACCAGTGCCATGATGGCCACCACTCCACAGATGATGTAAACGATTAAGTTCGTTTTGTCTTTAGTTCTGTTGTCGTTTGGGCTCCTTTTCTTGTAGGGGGTCTGCCCGGTCTTCATCCATAACGGGGTGTCGTAGTTCTTACAGGTGCTCTGGTCCAGCCGCGAGTGCTTGAACGAGCAACAGAAGCGGAAGCCACAGGTGCCGCAGCAGTACAGATAATTGCCCGTCTTGCAGATGAACGGCGGGTCCCACTGGCCCATCACGTCGTAGTAGCCTCGGCACCTGTCCTCGGTGTGAGGCGTCTCTTCCGAAACGCTCTCCTCCTCCCGGGTGCCATTAGAGGTGGCAATCATGACAAATCCCCCGAGTAGTCCTGGCTCCCCGTCGGCCTTACACACGAGAGCCATAAGTTTAAGCAATAAGAAAGCGAGCAGAAAGAATTTCCCTCTCATCGCGCTTCTTCCTCCGATCAACTTCACACAGAAACGAGCTTATTTTGAGAGACGGGGGAAGGCGCACGATCATGACAGGGGGAGATGTCCAGAAACATGCAGCCAAGGAGCGATGCACCGTCATCCGCGCTGATGGACATCGTTATCAACAGATCATCTCCCAACAAAAGAAAATAATAGACAGGAATGGAAAGGAAAAGGCCAATCGATATTACAGTAATTAAAAATATATATATATCCGTTGACAGAACTTTAGTTGATCGGAGTTATCCAGTTTTTTATTGATGTTCGCTTTTGTACGTCCTTCCAGAGGTGTTTTCACCAGCTCTCATTGCGCGATTTCAGGAGTGCATCCGTTTACATATCCATCTGTGCGCTCTTACGCACAGGAGTAGGCAGAGACACAAGCCACGCCGAGGATGAGAGCGCAGTGAGCGAATGGAGGAGCTGTGTGGGAGAGCCTGGTGCGCAAAAAGAGAGGAGGAGGAGGTGGAGAAAACAGAGGGGAGGGAGAGAGACTGAGAGTGTGGGCTTGGATAATAACGGGAGAGGGATACATAGTGAAAGATTACGATAGAAGCTTCGGAACACGCACATATGGCTTTTGCCATGCGAGGAAATACGTGGGAACCCCATTTCTGCTGCCACTGTGGACGTTCTCACTAGCTTTTGGACTATTACTTTGAAATGAAATGTTACAACATTCATAAAGGGTATTTCTTCTTATGTTTTAGAGAAATCGTGGTATAGTTATGAGACAAATCTATTGTGTTGGTAATTAACACAATGTTTTTAAAAACTTACACCATTATTTTTTTTCCATTCGATCGTTTCATGTTTCATTAAAGACCTGATTCAGATAGTTTCTTCAAACACATAGCAGAACATGTTTTTTTTTTTTTCTGTCACGTTTTATGCTGACTTATTTAAAGATTAAAAAGTAATGTCAGGGCGTCCTGAGGACCGGAAGGGTGTGTATGTATGTGTAGGGGGCGTTACTATAGCTGAGGAGGCATAGCTTCAATTTGCACAATTCGTAATCAGAGGTCGTCTGATCGTCAAAGGCCCAGGGCTCTGTCCATGGTACTGAACTCTTCTTTTCTCTGGTGTCCGATTCTGTTCTGTGTTGCTCTTTAAAGTTGTTGTGGTGCTATTTCTTGTGTGATACAAAGGCTTAGGCATAGAATAGAATAGAATAGAATAGAATAGAATAGAATAGAATAGAATAGAATAGAATAGAATAGAATAGAATAGAATCTAGTGTTGTTTAAACTTCTGCAAAACTTTCTGCTGTTTGTTTTCAAATTACATACAAATTAATGTCAAGTATTTACTCATTTAGTAGAGATGATGAGATGAGATTCTTAAAATTAAGTGAGAAACTCACACAGTAGACACTCTTCCAGAGATATAAATAATAATCGGGGCTCTTCTAAAAGAAAAGCATACTTGTTAAGAATCCACACTTCCTGATTAAAGTACTGTAAAGGGATGAAAATCACCATAAAAGAGAGAAAAGATTGAAAATGGGACCAGTGTCAGCAGAATACATACAAATCTCCCAAAATACAAAGGAACGACACCAAACAGAACCACAAGGCAGGACAGGGAGACATTTAAAATGATCACACATATAGAAATAACTATCCAAGTGAGATACTGTACACTAATCATTCTTGGTCTGGATCATGCTTTTGGTTTGTAAAACATGAATGAATGAGGGAAAACATATATTAAAAAGAGTTTCATTCTTCACTCTTATTTATTCCTGCAGGTATAGTTTAAAGTTTGGTTTTGTTTAAACTTATCCAGATTGTGAGTTCAAGCTGAGAATTTCCTAAATAAATGTTAAAAAATATTAAGCATTAGTAAATTACAGCTCTTTAACCTATTACATTTTTCCCTTTATCATTCAAGATAAAGCATAGCATTACCACCAAATTTGAATTTTCCAGTCCAAAGACCTGTCATGCAATGAGGCAAATGTGGCTCAGTAGGTACAGTACCCTTCTGTGTTGTGGGCTTGATTCCAGCTTACCCATTTCACATGTCAATTTGGACCAGGCCACTTAATCCCATATCAACAGTGTTTCAGTGAGTGTTTGCATGGTAATCAGTGTGATTGGGTAACTATGGCTAAAGTTTAAAGCACTTTTTATGACAAGAATTGTTCTTTATAAGTTACCTCAATATGCATGATGCTTTTCTATGATTTTATACATTGAGCCTAGGCGGAACTTCAACTGAATAAACTGATTACTCGCCTTCATTTACCTATGACACAGCTAATCAGCTTTGAACCACACCCTTTACGAAAGCCAATCAGTATCCAAAGTTCATCCGATCCGCAACTCATTTCCTACCTAGTGCGCAGGCTGTGGTTGCTCTGTGTGACTTCATTCAGACAACCCCGTTTCAACCCACCTCCAGCCCCTCCTCCACCATTATAGCTAAAACTTTCTCAGAGTGTTATTCCTCCCTGACTCTTACTGCAGTCCACGTCTCATTTCAACTGGTTCGGCAGAAGACCGTCATGTTGAGCCTGGTTCTGCCAGAGGTTTCTTCCCAATGGGGAGTTTTTCCTCTTCACTGTCGCTTCATGCTTGCTCATCATGGACAGGTTCTTTCAACCTGTGTTATCCAAACTGGACTTCCATCTTCCAGGTCCCTGAATGAAGCTTTAGTATCAGCTCACACAGTCCACTGGATCTCCCCATAAAGCTTAGCATACCATCTCACTAACCAGCAGTCTACAGACTGACCAACTTCATCTATCTCCACTCAACCACCAGTTTCAGGCTCAGGGGGAAACAGTCCTGTTCTTTACACCTGTTCATGCATATCAATCAAAATTTAGTGCTATTTTTCCCTCCAAGGTCTGAGCGCCAAAGACCAAGTAATTGTATCAATAAAGTTTTTCTAATTGTTTTTTCTCTCTGTGTCAGTTTTTCAGATTGAAATTTTGTCATCAGTACCTAAGGAAATACTCTACCAGAATAACATGGAGGTCATGTTGTTTCAATCACTTCCATGGTCTTTAGTGAGTCAAATGCAGTGGCCGAGCATGCAGGCTGTTTGTTGAAACATTTGTGAAAGAATGGGCTTCCCACCAAAATACAGCAAATTCTACCGAGATGCAATGATGAGACGCCACCTGTGTCCATTCATGGTTTTGTCTTCCCACTAAAAATGGAACAATCAGCTGTCCAAGCCGTAATCCCAAAGTGAAGAATGCTGCAGATGGAAGAAATCCAGAGTGCAACCTCTATAGATAGACAGAATTCATCTTTTTGTTAAAAGACAGAAAGAAAGGAGAGGATGGATGAGGATGCAAATAGAAATCTCAGTTTATACTGAAAAAAAAAGCACTGCCGGTAGTGAATCAACTATTTAAAAAATGAGCACATTGCTCAGTTTTAATGGGTTTACTCTAGTCTAGTCTAGTCTAGTCTAGTTATGTGTATTAGCAAGTTCTGCTGAAAGCTCAGTCAAAAAAGTTGAATCCAGTAGCTATTTTTATTGAAAAAATATTTAGATGATCATTAAACTAAAAAATATATTTCAACAGAAAACCTCACTTCCTAAAACAATAATCAAAGTTGAATTTTAATATGAGGCAAAATCAAGTAGAACAATGCCAGATTGTACTCACTAAGTTGCATTTTATATGTTGTGCTAGGTGATGCATAAATTAAACTTACTCTTGGACTCATCAAGTAAAACCTGACATCTGATTAGTTGAGCTGTGGCGCAGCAGCAATCAATCACCTTGTCTGTAGTAGTGTTGGTCCCAACCACAGATTTTGTTTAGCAAGGCTGATTATTTAAGCACTTGAATACACATATTCCCTACATAAACAACATATAAATACAGTATGCCTTTATAACTATTTTATCTGTAAATACTTTAAATGTTGGTTGTTTATAAAATAATGAACTTCTTAAGGTTAGTGCTAAAATATAAATAAATAAATGAAATTAAATTTTTTTGTATACACAGAGTGTTTACAAAAAAATAACATTTCATTTAGTTCAGCTTTCCAGACAGTAAATGAACATTTTCATCACATATAGTGCAGCATTGATCAAATGTAAACAGTGTGGGAGGAAAAAAAAACATGGTGCAAAAAATGCATTGATATGGAAAGTCAGAGCCTTGATATACCGGTATAGGGTGCAAATATGCAGTATATAAAATGCAGTATAATATGCAGTTTGGTTTTATCAGTGTGATGCAGAGTTTGTGACATGATTCACAGATGTTTTTTCAACAGTTCAGCTGTCTGATGGCAGTGGGGAAGAAACTGTTGCAGAATCTCCTCTCATAAAGTCTCATAAAGGCTTGGTAAGGTGGCATTGAAGGTTTATGAAATTAGGATGATAATCATTAAATGGAGGATATACTGTACATTCCCAAGCTTTATTTCTTTAATGTTGGTTAATGTTGTTAAGCTTTTTCCTCTTTTTCCCAAGAGCAAGATGGACAGCTTCATGACAAACTCATCTGGTAAGAGATTTTGAAAGTAAATTAAGCAAAGAGAATACCGAACAGCTACTGGACCCCCTGAGTGTGAGTGAAGGGATTTATTTCTAATGCTTTTCACAGCAATAGTGTCCTTCCCGTTCTGTGGAGACTAAATGAGTGAAGCGGAAAGATTTGGTTCACACCTGCTCTTAACATCTTCCCGTTTTCAGGCAACAAGCAGAATGCATTAACATATCATTTTGCAGGGCTTTGGTATTTTAGTCTCTCCATGTAACACCCTGTTACTATCATCGCTAAGCTGTGATGAGTCTCCTTTTACTAACATGGAAAAACAAGCTGTATCTGTCTTGTTAATGAATGTAAGAGACAGGTTGCATTGCCTTTGTGTTGTGTACTGCAGAAAGTGTATAAACACATGTACATCTTGGTTAATTATTTAAAACTGGTGGATATTTCCCCCTCCCCTTTTTTCGAACATAGAGTCAGCATAAAACAACTCAATCACATGTCTTTTTGTTTTATGCTAAAATTGTTTAATAGAAAAAAAATCATAAAAGAATGATGTTAAGATCAGTGTGTGGTGGATGAATGAGAAACTTAGTTGTAACAATAATGTTTGGAAAAATAATTTAAAATTAATAAAACATAGTCTTGAGTTTTTACAATGTGTGGAATAACCAAAGGTTAAAAGCAAAGGTATTGAATAAGTAATCAAAATTTAAACTGCAACTATTAAAACCTGGCCTCCATATAGAGGAGATTTAAAAAAAGGTATGTTTATGGATCAAACATTTTCTTCTAGTCTGTTATGCATGAGTTACACTGAAGCTGCTGTTTGTATTAGTCCATCTGGACAACTGAGAGTTCTTATTTTGCTTGAAATTTTCAAAAAGGTTGTGTTTTTTTTTAAGAAATGAGGTGATATCTTTTAAAAACATTACAAAAA